CGTGTATACCCATAAAATATGCGGTGAAATGTCTCACATCGCGAATATAGTCTGACTGCGATACAAAGGGCATTACGGAAAATTAATCGTGCTTATGTGCACGATACGACTTTCTAGCACTATTATTAATATATCGATCTGGTACACATCAGGTACAACGGTGCACCTGATACTGATACCGAGCACAACAGGTGCGGTATTGCTTAGCTTGCGCCCGCAAACCGCGCAGCCTCGATCGTATCGGATGGGGTTTTCCTAGGTTTTTCCTGTTCAAAGTACGAAAGAGAATCATTTATGAATATTTCCTTTATGAACCGCGTTCCGGTACCGCCTTATCTTTCGCATGCCGTATCACGATGATAAGAATATCTAAGAGTGCATTCGCGGGCGCCCGTTGCACGCGGTTACACCGTGCCGCATTTCTTCAGACACGCATTTCTTCGACGTGTTTGGCATGCGAACGGTGCACTTTCACTCGACGGTCAATGTCATCGGAAACCAGTTTCCAACCGTTTATCTGACGCCGGTGCTGGTTCCTGCATACGGGAAGGTGCGGAGGATATAAAACCAGGAAATCCGGAGTTCGGTTTAGGGGTCCTTTCTCATGGGCATGTGCAAATGACCCGTAATACATTCACGGACGTTCCTGAACAATGGAATTATCTGCTACCGCATTAAAAAATATTTCACACAAGGTTATAAAAAAGCGTGTAATATCAGATAATTAACCAATGCCAAGAAGATGATTACGTGATAAGTAACGTCATTCACAGAATAAGTTAAATAATACTTCATTGCTGCACAATACAGAGAGCACATTTTTTATTTTTAGAAGAATTTTAAGTCAAAAATATGTTCTGCTTTTCTATAACTAAATATAAATTGTATTATTATATTAATATTTACTGGTTATATTCTCTGATCATTCGATAGATGGCATCCGATAGAATCTGTTTCTCGTACGTAAAATATGATGACCGGTGATATAAGAACGATATATAAATCACCCAAAATCGCACGTATGTCTAAAAAACGTGATAAAAATGTCTTAAAGATGTCTTTTAGACATTGTAAGTTTGAACCGTTACTTACATGAGACAAATTGAACTTTCCGCGCAAATGATGTACGCCGAAGGGTCGGTTTCACTATCTCCGATTAACTGTAACCTTTGTTTAGTTCGTTTAAACTCACTCTTCGTCTCTTTTTAAAGCTCAGACTTGTATCGTACCATGATATTTTCTTATCAAAAATACGGATATGTTATAATGATGGATGGTTATAATTTATAATGATATGCCAAGGCTTTTTGTTTTCAACCTGTAAGATATGAATACGGATTGAAAACAAGGCCTTGGCGTATCATTATAACCAACTTATCCGTATTTTGATACAAAAATATCACGATACGATACGGTGATACGGTACAAGTCTGGACGTAGCTTTAGGGGGACAGTTAGAAAGAGATGAAGATTGAGTAAGTTTAATCGAAGGTTATAATTAACTGACGTTGGTGAAACTGGCTCTAAAGCAATTCAGATGCAAAAAACTATTCCGGTATTTATAGTGTTGCGCAGCGCCCAATTTTATGGACAAAAACCGGCATTTGAAATGTATTCAAGATAAGTATTCATCTAAAATTTTACATACATATATTACATATACGGAAAATAATGTTTTGCTTAGTCAGCGACCAAAATAGGATGTTAAAAAAGGCCGATTTTCTGACTATGGATGGAACCTAAAATTCGAGTCGCATGGGTATCTATGAGCCATATAAGAAGTGAAAATCACAGCCCTTTTTCCAGGAGACCTGTGGGAAGGGCAGAAAATCTGTCAAAACTGTTGAAAATTGCATTCTATCTATCCGGAGACAACTAGAGTCGGCAACATTTCAAATCCTAACACTAGGAATTGCATCAATGATTTCGAAAGCTGTCACTTGACTACTCGCACCCATAATGTTTTTTACATGTAGTGCAAAACATGCAAAAATCACAATTTTTCATATTCTGGTCCGTCATATTGGGTCCGCCATCTTAAGTCCGTCATCTTGAGTTTCGGGATCCCGATATTGAAACATTATTAGCAATCTCATAAACTATTGGATAAGTATTTAACCGGAAGCTGGTTTGACTGAAAATTCTTCCATATCGCCGACTCTAATTGTCTCCGGATAGATATATTAGAATGACGCAATTTTCAATAGTTTTGACGCTGATTTTCTGCCCTTTCCATAGGTCTCTTGGAAAAAGGACTGTCATTTCCACTTCTTATACGACTCATAGATATCCATGGAACTCGAATTTGAGGTTCTATCCACAGTCGGAAAATCGGCTTTTTTTAACATCCTCCTTTGAAATGATAAAACCATCGAGGGGCAAGGGGGTATATTAATTGCGGGAAAAGTCATATACTTATTACTTATTATTATACATTTACTTTTATTATTAATATCAGTAATATATAACATTATTATATGATTATGTAATATTTTACATTATTAACACATAACAAAAAATAATTTTCGCAGTAATTACATTTCTGTCTCAAAAATGTTTTGTTTATCAATTTGTGGTGAGTTCAAGAGTGCAAGAACTTAAGGAGATAAAGAAGAATTCTTCTTCGAAAGCAATTTTCTTAGTAATTGCCTTCGAAGAAGAATTCTCCTTTGTCTCCTGAAGTTCTTGCACTCTTGAACTCACCACAAATTGATAAACAAAACATTTTTTGAGACAGAAATGTAATTACTGCGAAAATTATTTTTCGTTATGTGTTAATAATGTAAAATATTACACAATTATATAATAATAGTGTTATAATAATGTTACATATTACTTATATTTGTTAATAATAAAAATAAATCTACAATAATAATAGTAATAAGCATACGACTTTTCCCGCAATTAATATACCTTCTTGCCTTTCGATGTTTTTATCGTTTCAAATTTGGTCACTGACTAAACAAAACATTATTTTCCGTATGTAATATACATATATATGTAAAATTTTAGGTGGATATCTCGAATACATTTCAAATGCCGGTTTTTGTCTATGAAATCGGGCGCTGCGCAATACTGTGCGTCATTTTGACGTATGCTTGCTAACTGGGATATTTCCAGTACAATAAAATATAGTGAATCATTTTTATATACGCGTCATAAATTATAGTAATAAAAATATAATTTATTGCATGGGAAGACTGATTGTCGCTCATTATTAGTAACATTCGAGCAGCTAGAGATAAAGCTCCCTTCTGCTTTTCTAATTATAATGACCCAATAGTGAATCATTATGTTCGAACATCCCATGCGCTACAATAAAACATGCGAAGTAATAATATCAATAAATTACAATTTCGACATTTATCAGACTTCATTAATAACTCTAGCAGGAAGTTACATTTTAAATTTTAATTTTGCCTTTTATAAAAATAAAATACTGTAATAAAGTAATTTAATTTGACATTGAACACTTTTGCATGCTTTTTTGAAAAACAACTTGTGACAACTTCTTGTTTTACATTTATTTGCTTACATCTGCAGTCTGTATGCAAGTTTCAGCGTATCATGTGTAAAAATATAGGATCATCGCGGACTTTACGTAATTAAACAAATAACGTAAATCAAATTATTACGTGGAAGTAGATAATGTATGATAATGTGTGATATTTGCGAGGAACATGAGTGTTCCTGGGTGTTCAATAGGAAGCTATCCGATTTCCATAAGTTATGTATGTTTATTAAGCAATTATGGTAATTACATAGACCAGAGATCAGGCGAGTGCTTTTTAGAAAGAAACTCGTCATGCTGAATTCGTATAATGTAACACGTGGAATGCAGTTCAAGGGCGCGGCACGTTCACATGCGGTATGATTTGCGAAACAATCTTTTTACAGTTTCTCGACTTTTTTTCTATGACACTACATCGTATTCAACTATAATAATGTATTATCATGTCCGGCTAATGCCTAATCGGTTGGGTATTAATGCTACGTTACGCTCTGACCGTTGGCTTGTCTTTCCACCTCCAACCAAGTTATATCGCGAATTTTTAACTGAAGTTCCATGGTATCGGCTTGCCCAATCAAACCTTATCCAATCATTGTAAACCTGAGGTATTCCGACCGCGCGCATGTTGGATTATGAAAGTCTTAGATGATATTTAGATAAAGAACATTCGTTAAACTGCAACACTGACAGAATATACAACAGTTAATTAAAAATTTTTTATACAACTTGGCGATATCTAACAAGTGTGAAATCGGTTCTGACATTTCACACGTGTAGAATACTAAGAGTTGTAGGTGAATTAATATTATAGTTTATGATTCTAATACGTGCGAGGAACGGAATGAAGAGTCATCTTGATTCTTCGAATGTTTGTAAAGAAAAAAAATTGCACGCTAATTGGCATCGCATTAACGTTGCGTGTGTCGTCTGTTAAAAAATTATGTAACTATTTGCAACGTGAAGCTTAAGTTCAGGGTAGCGATCATGTAACTTTTTCCCTAGAGCGAAAACGTGAAAAGTTAAAAGTTTCATGTAACTATCTCTTTCTATTGCTGTTGAATAGAAAGAGACAAACTTTTCACTTTTCACGTTTTCGTTCTAGGGAAAAAGATACATGATCCCCAGATCGTGTCGAAGGTAGATATGATAACACCATGAGACGCCCCTTGGTGCTGCGCGTTAGATTGTAAAAACGCACGAACATGCGAAACGCATTTGGAAATATTGTGAGATGTTACGGCAATTTAGTAAAAGTTAAGCGATATCGATTTTCTCTTTTTTACAACACTCAATTCTTTTGTAATATATCGCCATATGTATTAATCCACCTTACCTGAATCAAAAGTGAAAACGCGTCGGTCTTAATTATTGACGAAAATTATTCGATGTACGACTTAATTATTGGCAAAAAGGCATTGAAGGACGTGTACGTTATTCGACCGCGTATTGAGATCAAATCGACATTAAGTAGGAATAAAAGTGTACTTACTGCTTTTGCGGCCTTCTCGAACTTTATACGTGAGATCGGTGAATGCCAAGTCGACCGGCGGCCTCTTCGGCAGATGCGTGATCGTTTTCGGCTGCGCCGGCACGATCTGCAGTCGCACCGCCGAACTCTTTCTAGTTTGCAACAAAATTCCATTGCAGTCCTCCGCCGTCGAGCAATTTCCCTCATGCTTCATCTTTCAGCGAGATTGTTCTTCGTACTTTCGCCCTGATCCGCGCGCGTATTCGCAACGTTTAGAGATCGATGAATCACCTTCGCGCGGGTAACACGCGAAAATATTCCGTAATCGGCGATTTATTTTTCACAACCTGCAATATCGTGCGCCCACATGATGCAATGCACTCCGCAAACCGACCATGTTAGGGATAGCGTTTTGTTTCGAGGGGAAAAAGAATAATTTATATCCGTACTATGAGTTACTTCTGGAGCGAGAACTTACTTGAAATTTACTTAAGTTTGCAAATCTCTTTTCCGTAAGAAATATTGCGCTTCTTTCAACTCAACCAAGGCGTCAAGGTTTTAAATCCTGTTTTACGATGATTTACCCCATTCACGAAAGATTGCAAAAAATCATGTTTATGATAGAAAGAAATTATAAGTATACAAAGACACACGATAATCGAAAAACTGTCATTTGTATATATATTTGTACAATTTATTTCATTATTTTTCAAACAGAAGTATGACTGTAACATTAGCATTGGCCGTTTCACCGCAGTACAACCATACGAGACATAAAATTAATGCGATTGCGGCTACTAACTATGCAATTTACGTTACTTTAACGAATTATTAAAGATTTATTCCATCAAACTACTTAAACTACTAAAGTACTTATTAAAAAAACGCAATTTAACTGTAATTTCAATATAATTATAACATGGAACATCGATTGCACGCAGAAAGATTATATACCATAAAAATCTATATAAAACAAAATGAGGAATAAACAAGGTCTAGAATTGACCTTGTTGTAAATTAGTGTTTTATAAAACAGCGCGAGCAATTTTTGATCGCCATCGCATATCAAGCGCTAATTTTTTTTATGATGTTGATTACGATTTACCCACATGCCTCACACACAAAGCTAAAAATTTTTCTTTAACTTTATTCCTTCCAAATATTTACTCATGCAGTAAGAAACACTTGAGCCGTCGTATCGTGTTGTGATAACACCGCGAAACAGGAAAGACCATCCGGTTCTCGCGGAAACTACACACAAATCAACCTTCGTGGAAACGTTTAGAAAATTAATCTATCTTTCTTACGAAGTAATACTAGTACTACTCCAGCAAATCATTTCAAGAAAACTCCATTTCTTGACGACAAAAATCACAGGATGGAGAATGTCTCTTTATGAGATACTCTTCCGTGAAAAAGAGAAAAGAAGAGAATAATTTTGATGCACTGATTCTCTTACATTGTCCGACTTGGCGGTGTGCCGTTGAGAAATCTTCGTCGTTGGAGAAATCTCTCCGCGGACGTCGAAGCCTAGCCCTGAGATATAACGAGGCGCATCTCCGGAGTTTGACCCAAAACGATCGCAAGTAGTACAAATGTGTGGACAACACCAAGGATGGTAAGACACGACGACGCGACGCACTCGATCCGCACGGCTGCACGTGTCGCGGTGCACTCCCGAGCGTGCGCGACTCACCGCGGCTTTTAGAATCCCACCGGATGCGCTCCGATAACAAAGCCCGCGGCAGGAAGGATCCGGTGGGGTAACAGAGTGAGAGGAGCGGCGCGCTTCGTGCCTTCGCACCTTGTCCCTCGCGATGCACTTGCCGCTTGCCGCCGCGACGACTCGAGACCAACTGAGCTAAAAAGCTACGAGTCTACTGCAAGTCCGTCGCCGTTGACCGTCACCGTGACGTCCCTTTTGTCTCGCTCCCCTGGCCTTCCTTCCCTTTTTCCATTCCGTGCCGATCAAGGAAGAAGGCATTCACAGTGTTGCACATGGGAACAATCGCTATATCGATAGATCAAAGTCTGCGCAGAAGGCGATGACTAACGTAATGTTGGTAATATCCGCGCCGCGGGAGGTCAGCCATCCTCTTTGATCTTATCACAATCTTTTCGTAATTTGTTATCGCGGTGGAAAATTAGAAAGCTATATATATAGACGGATGTGACTTCCGTCGAAAATCCAACGATCTCTCACCGCGTTTTAACGAATCGTGCTCGGATAAGAAACACCGTCCATGCTGTATCCCAGTGAATATAATATCCCAAATCGGGACATTGTCTTTTAGACATCTTTTAGATGTTATATCACCATAAAACGCCTTAAAGACGTCTTATGTCCTAATTAGACATACGTGTTGTCTAAGACGTAGTGAATTTAAAATCAAATTAAATATAACAGTTATTTTAATCACTTGCCGTCAGTTTTAGGACTGGATCACAATATATTGCGTTCTTAATAAGCAGGGCGTAAATGGATCGTATCTTGAATTGCCACCGTGGAAACTCGCGTAAATGGCTTTAGAGACAAAGATGTTTATCCATCGCGATGGTTCGCAGAAAAAAAAAACAGACTCTCTAAATCTCATAGAGTTGTTTCGTCACTAGTATATTAGAGTGATTGCGATAGTCACTCTAAAAGAGAGGGTTGTTACTCGAATTTGAGTAAATGTGGGCACTCATAAGGTAGGAGTGAATTTTTCACTTAAATTTTTAAGGCAGCTACTCTACCGGAATGATATGATCTCACTCTGAAGCTATGGTGAATGACGATGCACTAAAGATCGACTGATTTATGATTCAAACAGAGTGAAATTTCCCACTCAAAATTGTGACATAATTCACTCCTATGAACATTGATCTACTGCACTCGAAAAGAGTGCCCTTTCACTCAAATGGAGTGCAATTTTATTGTAACTTATAGAACGCAATTTTACTCTTTCTCAAAAAGTGCCGAATCACTCGAAGGGCACGGGCTCAATTTTCACTTTTCATTACACTTGCGTTTCACTCATTTTGAGTGATATTTCATGCACTCTTCAACTTTTAGAGAGGAGGAAACAGAAAACGAGACTCCTAACTTTATCCCTATTTCGAATTAGAAGACATAAATAGACTGCGAAGAGTGCACTAAAATGGAGTACAAGACGTAAATACATTAGTCAAGAATATCTCAGTTAGTTGTAGCGCGTCATGAAAGAGCTTAGTTGTCCCAAACTCAAAGTTTTCGATTTTTCGCCGTTTAGAATCAGGATTTGTATGTTACACGCTATGTTACACGCTCAGCAATAATGCGAATGCCAGCGATGACCCTTCTCGATTTTATTTGCAGTCAACCATCTGGAATATACCGATTGATAATGCATTACGCAAGCCGTTGCTGCTGAAACAGCACTATCCACGTGTACCTGTATCGATGTTTCATAAGCGAGCTTATCGTCGAAGACGGTTAATTAACATCGTTCGAGGCTATGCACGCGTACAACATTACAGACTGGACGTGCGCGCTACAACATTAGTAAAAAATGCGCGGTCGGAAATTTTTTTATTTTACTTTTTTTAATTTCAATGAAGTATGCCGCCTGAAGGCATTCTTTATTTCAGGCTTTTACTGGAATATTAACGAGCTGAGGCATCAAAAGTAACGTATCATAATTGCGACAGTAACAGAGTTGAATCTCATTGAAGCCCCATATAACTATTTGTAATTTTGACGAGACTACATTCTGGAAGAAAATTTCCTAACAGCTACGTGTGGAATTAGTTTGCACGTCATATATACTCATTCATAATGCAGAAGAGATGTAGAGCGGCCATTGTAGCGCCGCGCCGTTAAAGGCTCGCCATTAATCGATTGACGTAAGTGCGTAATGATTTAATAGGAATCTATAAAGACCACGACGGATTAATTACGATTATCACGATTCTTTGTTCTTCAATACCTTTAAATCATTATTACTGTAGTTGTTGAAACTCGTGCCACTTCAGTGCGCAATAATGTCATAATGTGTTAATAATAATCATGAAAGACAATTTTTTTTACAAAAATCTCTCTATAATCACTTTTCTGTATCTCCTATCAGTTTAAAATAAGATATCAGCCATACAATTCGACGAAGTAGACTCGTTTGACGTCAATTGAAACCTGTGTGTACTTCGCATGAATATACAATCACCGGAAGACTGAACGGTCAAGCATTGAGACGCGTTCGCAAATCGAACGCGGTTCGACAGCAAAATTCTGCTTTATACGTCACGAATAAGCGTTTCCACTCATTAAATGTAACTTGTATTTTTTGCGCGTTTGATCGGCTATAATTCGGCATATTTGTGGCTGTATTTCGCCACATTTTGTTACTGCGCTCGTGCAGAATCATGCAAAATGAAAACTAACAATGAAGAGAATGTATCGAAATCGGAAAATATGCATATACTTCAGACATTGAGAGAACAAAAATTTGAATTCATATTAAATACAAACCGTAAAAACAATGTTGCTTTTTAAAAATATCCTCATAATATCCAAAAATATATCCTACGTTTAAAAAACAAATAAGGAAAATAAACGGATAAACAAATCAGCGAAACATATAATAAAGCATAACAGTTTTTTCCTAAATGATAAAAAAAAAACAAAGAAAAAATAATATCGAAAAATGAAGAAGAAATAATAATTTCCTCTTAAATCACTACGATGATTACACGATTGTACTCGCACTTGATCATTTTAAAGGTTATCAAATTGGCCGACAAAACGCGAAGCTAAAATCTGATCGCGAGCGTAAAATGCGCATACATTTACGTATCATTTTAGAAGTGGTGCCTTGCCGAAAGACGCCGTCAGGCAATTCGGTGACGCATGTCAAACTGTCGTGCGTTCTTTCCGTTTAACGTCATTGTATATGCGCGCGTGCAATACAAAGTGGCTTGAATGCGTAAGATGCAGCCATATATCGCGGAACGGGCCACTTTTTTTTATTCTCAAATATTCTTATACTCGAAATATTCACAAATTGAACCGAGTAAAAAGCTTCCGATAAAATATTATGTCGCCAATCGCATACAATTCCATCGTACTTTTATTGGTCTCTCGCGTTTACGTAACTAATAACAGCTCATCACGCAATAAGAATTATGAGATAATCTCTTACTTGTTTCCTCAAGTATTATATACAGTCACACGAAGTGCAATCATTTTTTTATTTCGCTTCGCGCGGGTTTGCGCGAAGATGAAATTTTTATTTCAAAGGAAAAGAACCATGAAACTATGGACAAGTTTTGATCTTTAATTCGATAAATTTAAAAGTGTGTCATAATAGCGGAAATGCTGAGCACGCTGCCACACTGTCGTGAACGTGACTCTTTTGCCGATGATTATTTTTTTGTGCTGGAAACCTTAGAATAGAATTATACGCGGAAAAGCACAAAGGATTACAAAATCCGTGAAGAAAATTAAATAATTGGAATTAGAAACGTAGACAAAGTGTAATTTCCTTCGTGTTTCCTGAAAAGCGGCAGTACAGAACTGTAGGTTGCATAACTGTTTCAGAAGAGCTATTTTGTCGTATAAATGCTCTGATAAAGCTGATAAGTGCCATTAATTGCAGTGTAATTTTACCGCAATTATATGTCATTAAATGCGAATATGATTAATATCATATGCTGAGAAATTTATTTATCAGAATTATTTAATTTTAATAAATATGGATTAAATAATTATTTTGAATAATTTAGAATAGTTTAGAGGCTGTATTCTCGTTTTTCCGCGAGTTTGTGGAGTAAAATCTCATTCTAAATAAATCTTGCGGCAAAATATTTTCTAAGACACGGAAAGAATCAAAACATTTAGCCTTAGCTAGCGTGCATGCAGCAGCAATTAAAAATGTTTCGCTCAAAGCATGCGTTTCCATTATTACAAGATGCGGTCTGTGCAATTACATCATAATATATCACTTAATTACACGATTAGAAAAAACAGCCTTGAATAAAATATTCTAAACAAAAACAAAAGCGATAAAAATGATGTAGAAGCGAGATATCAGACGTTATCACGTTGCAATATGGAAATTATTAATAATTATATATGATGAAAAATTTATGAATTCATGCGAACGGAATAAATAATTTATTATAAGCGCAATTTATCGACAAACAGAAAAAAGTTTATATTAACTCGTTGACTACTCCGGATGTTTCCAATTGCTAACACTCCTCTTTCTCAACTAATTTATCAAATGTAGCGGAAGAATTTTGTACTTTTATAAGGATCGCGACACATGGATCGCAAATCTTGATGATGAAATAAGCAAACATCTTAGCGAACGAATGTACGGTTCGAGTACGAGCGAGTCTCTTTAGAGATTATATATTTTCAGAAAAATACATTTCCGTCACGGTGGATTATCGATCGATAGAATCGTTTTGCGAGTGATTCACGCGCACGCTGCCGCGACCAAAGCGAGTGTCACTCATAGAGTAAAAAAGAGAAGCGCAAAGTCCGCTCGAACGAAACACCAATGGGCGTGATAACAGTGTAACAGCCGCAAGGAAATGGTAGAAATTTTGCTGGCGCAGTTACTCGACCGTGGAATCATCGCGCTCTTTGTTCCCCCGTATCGCGACATTGGCGGGTTAATTAAAACGATAATAGCGTCGCCCATATACGGCGTATCTAAACGTTAACGGGACGGATTTCACTTATTATTTCGGAGAATAAGTACAGATAAATCGCTCTCTCGTGACGTAAGAAGATAATCACGAAACTGTTAAAAGGGAAAGAAAAAAAAATGGAGCGCTCGTGGCACGTTTAATTGGCGATAATTTTAATTTACATTTTTCACAAC